AGAACAATAAAATAATAATAAACATCCACAAATCAAATCAAATTAAAGTCAAAATAATTAATTAAAACTATACATATCATAACAAGGGTTCATCTCATCCTAGCAATATATAAATTAGCCTAACATATTAAAATTACAAGAAATCATATTTAAGTGAAACGACATCATCCGGATTTTTGATAAATTGAGAAGATGAAGATGAATCATGAAATCTTGAATCTCTTCAATGGTTTATTGATGAATCTCCACTTGAGCCTTCTCTTCTTTACCCAAAAATCATATTTGAATCTTCATTTGATTGAATTCTTGCAAATCCTCTTCAATCATCTCACAAAAATTATGAGTTTTCCTCTTTTGATGATAATAATTGATGAATATTGGAGTATAATATGTATATGAGAGGTATCCCAATATGTATTCTACTGTTAGGTATTTGTAGAATTCAAAAATTGGTGGAAAATCACGTCCAAATTAACTTCCAAAAGAGTTCCAATCGAATAAGGAAAGTTGCCTTCGCGCACGGATTTTTGTCTCTGCACAACAATCAGTATTTCAGCCATATATTTATCTCTAGATATCCGAATGAAGCAATTCAAAATGTGTTGGAAAAATAACTCAAAGGGCTACATCTTTTATAGAAATGGAAGTTTCCCAATTTGGACATTTACTATACAAAAAATGGGTCTCAATATTTGACTAAAAATCTGAAACATAACTTGTGCGATGGGACATTGATTGTCATAATATTTTGATCATATTCCATTCCTTTTTGAATTTAATTTCCATCCAATTGTCTCTTAAAAATCTTCCAACTCATCTTTTGGTCCGAATCAACTATTGAATATTTGCAATTTGGTCCCCAAACTTAGGATTTTGTCCATTTTCACCAAGTTTCGCTTATTTCTTTCAATTCCTCTTCCAACTATTGAGTTTTATCTATATAACATAAAATACAATAATTAAGGGTATATTTTGTCAAACAAACTATCAAATATCGTTATTTTAGATCTCGAATAAGTGTATAAAATATACTTATCAAATATTCTCAAACTTAAACATTTGTTTGTCCTCAAACAAAATTATAACCTACATAATAACGAACACACAAACATGCAGAATTATTTGTTTAGATAATCTAGCTTTTTATCTTAGTATTTGAAATTACAGTACTAAATCTACAAATGATTTTAAAATCACAATACCAAATCGATATCCACTATTCCAATACAAAACTGACGTGTGTGTGTGTGTGTGTATGAAGAATTAAATAGACAATCATGAATTTACAAGTGCTTCAATTCCCGACCTTTGTGGTCAAATATATCTTTTCACCTCTCGTATGATTCACACACCATCAAACTTGTTCTTTTTTCACCATTTTCCAGTGTGTAATCTAAAGTTGAATTTTTCATTACTATCATCACCATCTCTAGTTCAAGTGGGCTCTACTAATTCTAAGTAAATACATCAATAAACAAAGATTCTCCA